TCATTTACATTGTTATAGCTGAGACCAAACCCTTGCCGTATTTTGTTTTTCTGTTTGCTAAAATTTACTTTCCTGACTAATTAGGTCCTTCGGACTTGGTAGAAAATTTAAATTCCACAGAGAACTGGTTTTATCAAGATGTCATTCTTTACAACACGAGTTTCCATTTTGGTTCAAGCTATATCCTCAGGCTTACAGCATAGTTACCACCACATTAGTAATATTACAAGTGGTGGACCGATACCTATTATTACTTATAGCTTGTAACTGCTTAAAAGCAAAAAAAAAACATCTTAGAATGAGCTGTGAACCTTTGGTGAGAATATAAAAGTGGAAGCTATAGTTTATATTTATAATCCGTTTCAAATCAACGGATCATTTAATGTGTCATTTTCTTTCCCTAAAAGGGTTATACGCTAAAGACTGCAGGATAGAATTAGCATCCAGCTGACCCGGGACAAATTAAAATAATAGTCAATAGTCACATTTCTTGTTTTCCTACTTTCTTTTCAAACTTTTTACCGTATTTCATTAGTTGGTAGACAATTCTCTCTAACCCAATAGGCAGCAGATGGCAATGATAAACATGGGCTTTAACAATTAAAAATAATTTCTAATACATTTAATTTATCTGCTTTATATTCAGCTCTTTATCTCCACGGACCTGGGGAACCTTCTTCTACTCAAGTCATATTAGGCACTTGGGGTGGTTTAATTAATTCTAACTTATTTTCTTTATCATACAGTAAATGACAAGACTTACAACCAAAAAACCTAACCTCAAAGAAATTTCAAACATTCTCTACCACCTTATTCTGCAGTAGCAGAACTTGGTAGCTCATGGACTGTTTAACTGAGCTGAAATTATGAAGAACTCAAGGTGCTGAATTGGGAATAAACAATTAACTGACGGATACTAGAATCATTCAGGAAAAAACAAAGAGGAAAAACAGCAACCTTAGGTTGGTTTCGTCAATTTCATATTCAGAATATAGTAGCATATGCTCGTGACCTTCATAAATGAGAAGTTGATAAATTCAGATTTTTAAACCAGAATGACAGACAAACTAAGGGAAATCTTCTCAGTTGTGGGTCAACAGATGGGCCTTCAAAACTATCCTTCCACAGGTAGAGAGGGGGATACTGTCCACTCAAAGAATACTGCAGAAACATCAGAAAAATGCAGTTTTCCCAAACTTAGCCACAATGCTCTCAAAGTATGGTGGAAACGGAGACAGGAAAACTAATAAAAGAGACACGCGGGTTATAACATACCAACTGCATCTGATCAACAACTCTGGTGTCCTTAGGGCCACTTAGGGCTAAAGAGTTTCTCAGCCTGAGACTGAACCATCTATTAATCGAGTAAAATAGATTAATACAATAAGCAATATATATCAACAGCTGGCATTCTGGGATGTTGTTCTCTGCCACCATTTGTAATAGGAACTACCTACAATTCCTAAGAACCAGGCCAGCCAATTACTCATTACGAAGTATGAGTAGGTGCATGTGTGGATTGCAATCTTCCCTAAGCACTATGCTGTTGGCTTGCCCTAGAGCAGGGGTCTTCAAACTTGGCCCTTTTATGACTTGTGGGCTTCAACTCCCAGAATTCCACAGCCAGGCACACGTGCCTGGCTGAGGAATTCTGGGAGTTGAAGCCCACAAGTCATAAAAGGGCCAAGTGTGAAGACCCCTGCCCTAGAGCCTGTTGAAATAAAAAGGAACAGCTTTGACTCATTGTTCATTTCCAAGGATGGCACTATTATAGCAAAGGGACAAGACTGCCCAGGTAGTGAGGTTGTCCAAGGCCATTTTAGAGTCAAAATTAAGACAAATGAGAAGAACTTGCACGGCTGCCGTTTAAACAGTTTTTACGGTAGACCTCATTATTGTAATATCCCTGCATTTTAACGGATGAGTTTAGCAGCACCCGTGTTGAAAAAGAACAGCAAAAAGTTGGCACTCGCTGCACGTTTTTGTAGTGCATTGCGTGTGACAGACATCAGCTCTGTGATTTTGAAAACTATTGAGGTAACTATGGAAGAGAGAAGATATTTTATATAAGCAAGTCTTTGGATGCTGTTTTAATCATTCAGAGCCAAAACACGCATAATATGAGGAATGGAGTGTATTTGTCACCACCGTGAATGCTTGTTTTTAAAAACAAAATGAATGTTTGACTATCGTAAACCAGACATTCAGAGCCAATTTCAAGATGCCTGGTTAATCTTTCCAAACTCCAAAATGCAATTTGCCAAAGGCGGACAAATAGTTGTGACTTGTGTTGTAAAATATGTGAATCACAATACACTCTGAAGGAAAAAAAATGAACAGCTGCTATCCATGCTACTAGCGGTAGCCTAGGCATATGACTACTTGCAAAATTTCACGATGTGGGTAATAATATCCGGAGCTAAACACAATGGAACTTTTTTTTTTTAAAAAAAGAACCAAACCAAAAAAAACCCCCACAGGACTTTTAAAGAGTAAAACTAAACACAGCAAACATGTATAAAATAATATTGGGAGGGAAAATCTTCCTTCGTGCTTTTCTTCTTGAATTACTTCTCCCCAGCAGAAACGCAGATTCAGGACTGATAGGGGGCGGGGGGCGGGAATCGCTTCCTTTTAAATCATCATGAAACCCTGCTATGTAAAAGTGAAGCAGCAGCAACTTGATTTTAAGATGCAAGATTGACCATCTTGATGTCTAACTTTGGCTTCAAGACCTCAAGTCAGGAAAATATTCTACAGGCTGATGGGAATCCTATTGAATCACGGCACAACCTTTATGAATGAAAATCTTAGCCAAGGCCAGCAAATGAATCATATTAACTGAATGTATTTATCCGCTAGAATTTCCTTTATGAAAAGCTTTTTAGTTCCTAGAAAGGCACCAATTTAATTTGTTTTGGGATGCCATTTGCTCTCGTAAGCAACTGTCAGTCATATTTTAATTGCCCTCTATACCCCTTAATGCAGTGCTATTATTAAGTGACGTTACTGCAGCTTAGGCATTGTAAATTACCTCCCATTCAAAAACTCAAAAGCTGGCTTCTAGAGAAAAAAAAACCACAACAACACCGTAATTGCATATCTCCTTATTATACCTGTTTGGTTAGCAAGGAACTTGTCTTTAATATCTTGAAATGACATTAACTCCAAGCCCTTTAATTCTCAAGGAAAACCAAGAAAAGATCCTTCCTAACATCCTTCAGTTCAAAAGTACAGAGTCTTGCTTCTGAAGATGGTGGTCTGGCATTTTATAGGCACAGCTAGGCAACAATCACGACCAAGAATTAGGAGAGAGCTTGTAAGGGAGAAGACAAGAGAGTTTTGAGTCAAAAGGAATCAATGTGCTTTTGCTGAGGACTTCCAACAGAGAGGGGACAATAAAAACAAAAGCAAAACTTAATACTGGAGGGAATCCCAAGAAAAGACAATTAATGGAGAAATGGATTGTTCTCTAGGTTTCGGATAGTAGAAGATCAAGAGATCAAAGAGAATATTGGTAGCTCAGGGTTGACATGAGGGATCCTTGGTGCTCTCTGAGCTTGGTGGTTTTCTTGCAGATGTTTCATGACCCAACTAAGTAAGATCATCTCAAGTTATATTCTGGTGGCTTGACCTGTCAAAGTGTTGGTGAGGGTGATCTTAGAGATCCTTTGGTTGGGCTGTTTTCTGTTAGCTTGTTTGGCAGATTTTTGACTGGGGTATTGTTTACTTCAATTGTTTAGATCACTAGAGCCAGGAGCAACTCAAGGAAGGCCTTGATAAGTGTACTTTCCATTAAATTGCCAGGCAAAGCAGGTGGGGATTGTCAGGAGGGGAAATAGTGGACTAGGAAGAAAAGAACCCCTATTCCACTAAGACAGAGAGAACCATTAGAAGACTTTGAGGACAGGGGAGTCCAACCTTGGCAACTTTAAGGCTTGTGGACTTCAACTCCCAGAATTCCCCAGCACGAGTCTTAGGTTGGACTCCCCTGCTTTAGAAGATGGCGTGCTCCAAAGAGCATCTTCTCAAACCTTCCAAAATATTTCTGACGTTAAAAACAAAACCAAAACAGAACTTGGAACAATATTTGCAGCCACTGGGATCTAAATGTGTATCCTTTATCTAAATGTTGCATGAATTGACTTTTTGAAGGAAGAACAAGATCCAGCTAACACATGGAGAGCGTGGCAAGCGTGTGCTTCTGATGTGAAAACAAGCCCTCAACAATTTGAATGGTTATAGATCTGTGAGTAGACCTACGAAGGAATGCATAGCAGATCGGGTCTCGCCACAGAAGCAAAACTTTAAAATGGGCTTAGGATTTGATTTTGACCCTCGATATTATTGTCAAAATATGGACTGTCAAAATATGGACTTTCTGAGATCAGGTGGAGAAAGGTCCACAATCTGGAGGTCGACATTCCTCCTCCAGAATGTGGAAGAACGGGGACCTTCACATTCTGAAACCACAAGCGTTGAGACCCCAACCTTCTGCCATGAAGGATGGGAGCTGCATTTGGAGGTCGACATTCCTCCTCCAGAATGTGGAAGAACGGGGACCTTCACATTCTGAAACCACAAGCGTTGAGACCCCAACCTTCTGCCATGAAGGATGGGAGCTGCATTTGGAGGAACATCTGGCACCCCAAGATGTGCTCTAAGACATCCACAGAAAATTCCACTGGATTCACATTACTGTAAACCAGGAGTCTTCAAACTTGGCCCTTTTATGACTTGTGGTCTTCAACTCCCAGAATTCCTCAGCCAGCATGCCTGGCTGAGGAATTCTGGGAGTTGAAGTCCACAAGTCATAAAAGGGCCAGGTTTGAAGACCCCTGCTGTAAACATCTGGCCCAATAATATGCATTACTGAGCACACATGTACAACGAAAAACAATGTTGCAACAATGCCATTCCAGAATCTGCAGAGCAAGACCATGGAATATTTTCAATGGTGTGACCCCCCCCCCCTTTTTTTTTTTTTTTTGCTTTTAGGTTATAGAGCTTCATTAACAGTGTAATAAAATAATGCTTAAGTAGAAAGGTAAACAGTATCGTCACTAGCAAATGATCTCTATTCTAATTAAATATTAATATTTATGATCCAAAAAAATAAACTTATAAAATGGAAAATAAAAACAAAACCTTCACTAGTAGTAGTATTAACAAGATTCAGCACAATTTTCTTTGAAAGAGGTAATTTTTTACACCGACGTTTGATCCCCATATCATTCTCCAGACAGTGTCTGAAATGCATTAATAATTTCACCGACCCCTCTTCCCACTTTAAAAGAAGATTTTTTTTAAAAAAAAAAAGTTCTTCTTTTCATCTGTAATACAACCATTTAGGAATATATATTTTTTTTTTTACTCCCAGAAACTTGCAGCATCTTTTATTCATAACGTTTGGAAATGTTCTCCTTGTGTTATCGCTCTTCCGATCCCCCACCCAAAATATGTGCTACCTGCCCCGTTCGTAATAATGTATGGCACTTCTGAAATTCATCACCACCCATCTCGTTAAATTTGAGATCCGTTCCTGAGGTCCACCATAAATATTACAAGATCTACGTAATAGCATTTAGTTCCCGGTACAACACTTAGCTCGGTTTAGAGTTTAGTCCATTCCGTTAAAAAAAAATAAAAATCCTAGTAATAATAAAAAAAAAAATTGTGAACAATGGCTTACGTGTCGGTCTGTCTTTTCGGGCAGAGGCCTCCAAATTGCAAAGTTAAGCTGTGAAATAAAAGTTCACTTGCCCGTTTGCCTCCCAGCGGAGCTAAAAGTGTCTTTTGGCATCACAAAGAGAGATTGATTTCCAATCAGTGTATCGCGTGCCAGCCATACTTCTTGAGGTCAGCACAACGTTGCTACTCACAACCATTCCCCCCTCGGTGGAAACACATCCTGCAGTTGCTGCCCCCATTTCCACGGCTTTTCTTTTTACACTATTCTTCTTCGTTGGGAGGAAAGGAACAGCCCGCCGCGTGGCTCAACCTCTGTAAATAACTGGACCGCTCGTTGACTCCCGTTTTTCCACAACGAGCCCCTCGCAACGGGCCGAGGCTTTAAAGCATTTGAGCAATTAAAAGAAAAGTTAGAACGGTTATCATACCAATGCCGAGCGTACTGTTTAGATTTCTGCTGCTGCAAGATGTTCTGCTTCTCCGTTATAGAAAGCGAGGTCGTTACAAGGGGACTTTCTCTAACGCTCTTCCCGGCTGCTTGCGTGAAGGACGGTCAAGGAGAAGGGACGCGGGCGCGGAGGGAGAGGAGCAACCCTTGCTGAAGTTGGAGGCGGAAGAGTTTGCAATTGGCTATGCGCAAAGCGGCGCATCCGGTGTGGCGAAGGTAGGACGGGAAGAGAGGTTTGGTAGGGTGCCACGTCCCGGTGCTTCTTCGGAATTCTCGAACGTAATCGTAACTGGTACCTATCAAACGGCAGGGTTAGTTTGGGAAGGTCAACAGCTTCGAAGAAGCCGCTTTGAAAACGAGAAGCCGAACCGAATTCAACGGCAAGGCATTCAGGAAAAGAAGCGTTTGACATCTTTTAGAAAAGTCAACCATAGATGTAGATCAGTGGTGGCGAACCTATGGCACGGGTGCCAGAGGCGGCACTCAGAGCCCTCTCTGTGGGCACGTGCGCCGTCGCCCCAGTCCTAGGCCTTCAGCTGGGTTTTATAAAACCTTTTCGCTTTAGGCCTCCGCCGCTGTGTGCAAAAAAAAAAAAAGAAGGTTCAATCAATCAGTCAATTTCAACTTCTCGCAGGAAAAAAAAAGATCTTGCAAAGTTGGAATTGATTGAACTTTTTAGTCCCACGCAGTCTGCCGTTACCACCGCAGTCACGCCCACCCAATGGGCCACACCCAGCCAATGGGCCACACTCACCCGGCACACGACAATGCATAAGTGGGTTTTAGGTTGCAGTTTGGGCACTTGGTTTCTAAAAGGTTCGCCATCACTGATGTAGATAAAGATGAAAGTCACATTGCTGAACACTTTAAAGCAGCTGTGTGATTTTTTTTATTCGCATAGCTTATTTATTTATTTATTGATTGATTAGCCCTTGTCCATATCAAAGTGCAAAGTTCCAGAAACAAATGATTACTAAAATTTGATAAAAGCCATTTAAATTGGAATTAGATAAAATACAGTTTAAAATGAAATTGGGATAAAATAAAATGAAACTGGGATAAAATGCAGTCTAACATGAAATTGGAATAGAATACATATAAACCACAATGGGGGTGTCACCATGCTGCCCTTAGCCAAAAACAGGTGACTGACATTGTGGCTTACTGTAATGTGTCAAATAAAAATATATCAACTTGGTTGTAAAGGGGGGATATTTAACATGATGATTAAGGGCAGCACCTATAAATCAGTGTAGCTTTCGCTTAGCTGAGTAGTTGGTGTAGTAACAGCCTACTTGGGCCTGAGGATAAATTTGCAGCTTGATGACAGAAGATAAATTTACATTTTTAAACAAGAAACTAATTGTGTTTCACGCATCTAGCAATGTTACTAAACTACAAGATGTGAAGACCCTTGAAAGCCCACCCCCCAAAATTCTGAATTTTAACATTTGATTCTTGTGTGACAAGCCTAACTTGCAGCAATGCGACGTATGATTAAAAATACAACAGTCCTGTTACCGGTTTTGCCACTGACCTGTATCCAGATCCCCGATCACATATATGCTGGCCCCAATGGGCACAGCTCCATACACAAATGAGGAACTGGCTGGGATGCATAAATTCTGATCGCTCAGATAGATCCACCTGCAGAGAGAGGCAACAATTGGAAATGCGTGCAATAATTGGCAGTGCCTAAAGGAAGACTTAAAAAGAACGAATCTATTTGCAAATTGCTCACAGGGTGCACTAAAACCCTTTCGAAGGATTTTAAAACCGATGCTACCCTTCACACCGAGGTGAGTATCTGCTGGAAAACTTTCTCAAAACTTTCTCAAATAGAATCCTTTGTTGCAGGCAAGTCAGCAACAGGTAGATACGACTTTTATAGAATTTGCAGCCGAAATTTGCAGCAGAAATAGATTACGTACTTCCTGTTTTGCTGCACTTCACGCTTTATTTAATCGCCGCCAACATTCATATGCTGGGTGAATCAGTGACAATGCAAGTTCTCCACCCAGAGGGTTTGGCATTCCACTTCCTGTCCCTCCTGATCAAAATATTTCAGGAAGCATCTCTGGAAAATATGTCTAGCTTGAATCTCAAAGAATCGCCGTCAGGTACAAGAAACAGGGCTAGACCAAACTCAGCAGCAAGCATAAAGGCGGTTTAATACAAGATTGTTTTGCATTTTGTCTTCATCACTTTCTTTGCTTTCATTATTTTCTTACCTCGGCTTACGATCCACATTTGAGTCCAAAATTATCCCTGCTAAGTGAGGAAGTTATGCGAGTTTTGCCCCATTTTATGACCCTTTGGGCACAGTTGGTAAGTGAACCATGCTGTTATTAAGCTTTTGCCCACTGTCTTTGCTTGTCGGAAGCCGGCTGGGAATGGTGATCACATGACCCCGGGACAGTGCAACCGTCGTAAGTACACGCCTGTTGCCAAGCGTCCGAATTTTGATCTTCCCGAATTTCAACTCTGAATGGCCGCTAAATGAATGACTGTAAGTTGAGGGCTACCTGTATCTACAGAGCCTGAACAAGATGCTTTGGAAGAACAGAACATTCATCCAGTCACGAGACAGGATGGCCTCACCCCTTCCGGCAGAGAATTTAAGATCATTTATCAGATGATTGAAAATTAATATTTGTTGCTGCTACCTATTTTATGGGAAAAGCAGTCCTTGTGGCACTGTCTGTTCGCCTCTGGTAAATACCTGGGCTCAACCTGAATATTTCAGCCTTGAATGGTGGAAACTTGCAAGGGGTACAATTCCCTGCTCCCCCAAATTCAGGCAGCAAAGTATCCTGCATCGATTCAATACTCCAATTTGAGAACCAGAAAAGGTAAAGTAACGGTGCAGGCTTAAGGAGTTACACATCCCCCCCAAAAAAACCACACAAAAAAGTTTGGAATGCAACTACTGTACAGAGAAGCACAAGAGTCACAACCCAAAAGTCGACTGAGCGATCCGTGGCAATCAAGAGAAATAAATCCCTTGTAATAAGCTAGTAGCCATTTCCTGAAATCCTCGCAGCCTCTTTGGCAGTAGGAGAGCGCCCTCCTCTGGTGAACAGCAATAAAAGACATATTGCGTTGCAGACACAGGAAGTCCTCGACTTAACGACCCCAACATTTCTGTGGTTAAGTGAGACATTCATTAAGTGAGCTTTGCCTCATCTTACGACCTTCCTTGCCACAGTTGTTAACCTGGTGACTGAATCTGGCTTCCCCATTGACTCTGCCTGTTACAAGGCCGCAAAAGGGGATCTCGTGGATCTATCTATCTATCTATCTATCTATCTATCTATCTATCTATCTATCTATCTATCTATCTATCTATCTATCTATCTATCTATCTATCTATCTATCGTATCCATCCATCCATCCATCCATCCATCCATCCATCCATCCATCCATCCATCCATCCATCCATCTATCTATCTATCTATCTATCTATCTATCTATCATCTGTCTATCTGTCTGTCTGTCTGTGTATCTGTCTGTCTGTCTGTCTGTCTGTCTGTCTGTCTGTCTGTCTGTCTGTCTGTCTGTCTGTCTGTCTGTCTGTCTGTCTGTCTGTCTGTCTGTCTGTCTATCTATCTATCTATCTCCAACTCTCTATTTATCTGCACATTACTTTTCTTTTATATTTCTTTTATATTTTAATTAACTGTGATTTCTGTATTCTACACGCTGGTCTACAACCGAATAAAGATTTGATTGATTGATGCTTCAACGAAGGATGCTTTGCTTGCACTTAACATGTTCTGGGAAGCTACTGAACGTTTTGCACAACCCTATGAAAGTTAAGTATTGGAAACCATGCCATTTATAAATCACTGTAGATTCAGATCAAAAATCAAGCCGGCTAAACCATATTAATACTCCTACCACTTTCTTTCTACGAGGGCAGGCTGCACTCAAATGTTCCGATGCCGCAAGAGGCATTTCCTTTGAAGGGAAAGAGCTTTAGCAATTATTTGCTTTCCCCTGCCAAAGGCCCAAGATCTCAAGCCAACTGAGGAGAGCAAGTGACAAGGCTGAGAAGGATTATCTGCAGAGATAATCAATCAAAGGCGACTTTATTGGCTGGAGGGAGAGCAATGGACAATTCCCCAGGTTCGGCTTTTTTAAATGCTCTTCGGTGAAGTTGCCAAGGACCAAACAAGGCAACAGCCAGCCGTGTATAGAGTTGAAGAGACTGCGTTACGTAGGAAAAGAGTTTACCTTTTGAATTCATCGTGGTAGAATTCAGATTTGCACGTCACCATCTCGCTGGTTTGGTTATCCTCGCGGCTTCTTACTCCGCCAAAGACGTAGAGCTCTGAAGCCACGCCACACGCCACAGCCCCAAACCTGGAAAAAAGACGAGACACGTAAGCATGCACGCATTAACTCAGCACTCGTGTTACTTAACCCCTTCCCATGTTTCACCCAACCTCAACCAGGGTTTGGTAGGAACATTTCCTGAGCACAAGCTGCTGCCTTGCCATGCCTGCCTCTTATTCTCCTGGCACAGCTAAGGGAAAGCCTGAACAGTAAGAATCCTTTGCTTACGGGGATGCTAGTTCAGCAGCGTCTAACTTTATTTGCTAAGTTTTTAGGGCTGACCATCTCACAAAGGATTTTGATAATGATAACGATAATAATAATAAAGTGGGAAGGGACCTTGGAGGTCATCTAGTCCAACCCCCCGCTCAGGCAGGAAACCCTATACCATTTCGGACAAATGGCTGTCCAGTCTCTTCTTAAAAACTTCCAGTGTTGGAGCATTCACCGCTTCTGGAGGCAGGTGGTTCCACTGGTTAATTGTCCTCTCTGTCAGGAAGTTTCTCCTTAGTTCCAGGTTGCTTCTCTCCTTGATGAGTTTCCATCCGTTGCTTCTTGTCCTGCCTTCAGGCGCTTTGGAGAATAGCTTGACTCCCTCTTCTTTGAGGCAGCCCCTGAGATATTGGAACACTGCTATCATGTCCCCCCTCGTCCTTCTCTTCGTTAAACTAGACATAGCCAATTCCAGCAACCGTTCCTTATAGTCTATGCAAACTCCCTAAGCTGGTTAACCATTCTTTTTTATGGCCGCATCTAGTAACCTGGGCAGTGAATCTTAATAACTTACTAACCTTCTCTCTTTCAGTGGGCAGATGGCCGTCCACTGCTGAGTCCTCGGGTCGTAACATTCCACGGACTCAAACAGCTTCCCATAGGAACCACCTCCCATTGCATAGATCTTCTTTTTCATAGCTGCGTAGCAACCGATCTTAACAAGGAGAATGCAAAACGTCTGTTACACAGAGTAGTAGCGTGAGTCAACCCGCCACAAGGACCCAACAAAAGGCAGTCACACAACAGTAATACGAATAATGAACTTCCAAAAGAGGAAGGGGGGAATCCCCCTCCTGCATTAATCAACAGATGGTTAAAAGATCCCACGCCCCGATACAATTCAAAAGAAAAATAAAGAGAGTTCGTAAGATGAGGGCTTTAAAATCCGGATCGCTATTTGGAATGTAGGAAGGAAACTCCAACAGGAGGGGTCTGCTGAAATTCAGCTTTTCTGGATGATAGTTTTAAGCATGATTTCTCTTTCTGTATTGTCTGGAAAGAGTTTAATCAGTTATTATCAGCTCCAGTGTATTTTGTTCTTATTTTCTAAAGGCAATTTGTCCCTTAACGCTTGCATCTTGTATTACACTAGATTCACGAAAGATTTTACCTTCTCATACCATGAGTAAAGAAAGAGGAAGGGGGAAAGGGAAGGGACTTGGAGATAAATTTATGTTGTGAGCAACATAAAGAATGCAAGCAACCATGTTAGATGACGACCAGACTTTTATTCCTTATATAAAAACCTGTTAATATTTTGAACACCCTCAATCTTTTGATTTGATTGTATCTGACTCTGAGGCCTCCGTGTAGCCAGGTTGGCAGACTACAGGAAAAAAAGATACTGTAGACCAACTGTCAAACCTGCAGGAGAGGTCGAGGAAGTATTTCTGCTTTAGATACATGAAAGCAACAGACAGGTGTTGCTTTGATAAAATAAATAAGCAAGTGTTTCCTCCTAAAGGTAGAATTGCCAAAATTATTTAAACAGTATATCTTCAGACAAGCAGCCAATTAAAAAGGGCCTTTATCTATTATTTCTTTCTCCCACAGTATTTTATTAAATGTCCTACAGAATGATAAGAGACCAAATTTGTATGTTTGAAGAGATGGTAAAAATCTGTGGAGCCCATCACAGCCAGCAAGACGTGGTCCAGCTCAGCATCAAGTTTTTGAATTATACTTCTATCAGGCTCCACTCAGCTTTCCAGAACTATTCAATATTTTGCTTTTGACTAGCAAGACACTTTTATATGGAAAGAAAACAACCAAAGTTCCTTGAGTGGCAAGACCTCAAAGGCTGCCTCAAAAGATCTTCAAAGCGGATTGCCAACATAAAGTTTTAAAGTTTTGCAGGAGGCAGGCGGCAAAAGGCACAACTAGACAGGAACAGGACACTGATTAATTCAAAATTCCTGATTTTGGCCTGACTACATTTTGGAAGGCAGCCCTTGCATATAGACTTTTGTGGGTTGGGGAACGGTACAGAAAGGAAAACTGAGAAAAACCATAGTTTATTTTATACCTATAATTGGTAAGAATCTTTTATTTAAAAAAAACCCCTGTCACATGGAGAGAAGGAGTGGAAAAAAAGAGATGCACTGCAGTAGTTTCGGAAAGAAATATGATCAGCTTGCTTTTTTCCTTTTGCTTGCCTCTTACCTTCCTAATCATGGTTAAGTCTGGCTGCTTTGTCCATGTCCTGTTGTAAATGTCAAAGGACTCCATAGAAGTGAGCACCTGTTCTCCATCCTCACCTCCCAAAACATAGAGCACCCCATCGATCTCGACCAGGCCAAAATTGTGCCGTGCCTGTTTGGAAATATGAGGTGTAAAAATGAAATCTTAATCATACAGAACTGTAAATCTTGTTAGGTTACAATATAAACTATGGAGGGTATAAGCAACTCAAGTACCTCAGTCATTGGTGGCAAGGGGCTCCATGTATTTGTATCTGGGTCGAATTTTTCACCCGAATTTAGTGTAGTTTTATTTTCATCTTGACCTCCCAGGACAAACAGGAACCCCTCTGAGAAGCAAAGTAAAGATATATTTCAAAACACCGAGCTAGCGGATACATTTTATAAGAACAATCAAGAACTGAATAGTGAAAGGATTGGAATTAAATGACAGAGACTATCAAAAAGTACGTCTTCAGATTTTAATAACAGAGTAAAACAGTTGGAAGGAACCTTAGAGTCGACCTAAGTCCTCCTGTTCTAAGCGGTGAACCTCCTAGTCCAGGGGTAGGCAACCTTGGCTCTTTTATGACTGGTGGACTTCAGCTCCCAGAATTCCTAAGCCATCATGGCTCAGCTTGGAAACATCTCCCCTTCCCCTCAGCATGGGTGGCTCAGGAATTCTGGGAGTTGAAGTCCACGAGTCATCAAAGACCCAAGGTTGCCTACCCCTGGTCTAGTCCAACCCCCTGCTCAAGCAGGAAACAAATGGCTGACCAGTTCTTCTTAACAACCACCAGCGCTGAAGCACCCCCACAACTTCTGGTGGCAAGCTGTTCCACTGATGAATTGTTCTCGCTGACAGGAATTTTTTCCTTAGTTCTAGGTTGAATCTCTCATGACAAGATCCCATCTGTTACTTCCTGCCCTGCCCTCAGATGCTCTGGAAAACAGACTTCTTCCTAGCTGACAATAAGATTCCTGTCCAGCTATGCCACGTTGCATGTGAGAAGCGTAGGCTGAGTGTGACTTTACAGCCAAACCATCAACTCCAGAAAATTTTGTCCAGATCTTCTCATGAGCGTGACAATCGATATGCTGGACTACATCTGCAATTATTTCAGTAGGCATGAGTGATTAATCCAGCAGATGTAGTGGGCGCCAAACTGAACATCAGACTAAACTATTAATTTATCTTCTTGGGTTAGGCCAGGGGTGAGCAACCTTGGCTGTTATGACTCGTGGACTTCAACTCCCAGAATTCCTGAGCCAGCATAGCTGGCTCAGGAATTCTGGGAGTTGAAGTCCACGAGTCATAAAAGAGCCAAGGTTGCCTACCCCTGGGTTAGGCTTAATATGTTTTGTGAACATAGCCAGTGTAGTTTGTTAAATGTAGTTAAGAAAACTATCATTGAATATAATGTATGTACCTAATTACTGGCTGTAAGGTGTTTAACAAGTTACTATTAGGCACCAAAGAAAATGTATAAGGCCAAAAGGAGTACATCAAAAGAGTAAAAGAACCAGTTTAGTGTAGTAATGATGAGTTGGCTCTGGAAGACTGAATTCTAAGCCTCCTTTAGGCATGAATGCTGGCTAGGGGACTCTAACCCAGTCATTCTCTTTCAGCCCAACTCAACTCAGAGGGTTGAAAATAGAAGGAAGAAGGAATATTAGGGATATTTGCTGTATTGGGTTATATATAAAAAAGGCAGGAAAGAAAGTGTGTGTTATAAAAAATGTTTTGATTCTAGAAAGAGTGAAGAAAAGAGCAACAAAGATGAATAGGGGACTGGAGGCTAAAACATACAAAGAACAGTTGCTGGAATTGGGTATACGTCTAGTGAAAAGGACAACTGGGAGGGGTGTGTGTGACATGATAGCAGTCTTCCAATATCTGAGGGGCTGCCACAAAGAAGAGGGGGTCAACCTATTCTCCAAAACACCTGAGAACAGGAAAGAAGCAATGGATGTAAACTAATCAAGGAGAGAAGCAACGTAGAATTAAAGAGAAATTTCCTGACAGTGAGAACAATTAACCAGTGGAACAGCTTGAGTCCAGAAGTTGTAGGTGATCCATCACTGGGTGCTTTCAAAATGTCTGAAATGGTATAGGATCTCCTGCTTGAGCAGGGGGTTGGACTAGAAGATCTCCAAATTACCTTACAGCTCTGTTATTTTATATTCTGACTATATTCATAATCAATGAAGAAATATTAAAAGAAATATCAAAATATATACCATATGACTGGGTTCCTAAGACAAGGATGTACATGTTTATAGCACTTCCTTGTCACAATGTCTGAGTGGAAAATGACAGCATCTGCAAAAAGAGTGTTCAAAATGGCCAGACAGCCACATCGCATCGCAACTTAAGCCGCAACCCTTTAATACTTGCACCTACATCATACGTGCATACAAAATGGTCAGAGATCAAATTGTGATGCTGTATCTACAATCTTGCCTGTTCTAACGTCCAGAAATATGTGCCCTCTGAGGAAATGAAAGCGGGGGGAAAAATCTTTGGTGAAAACCTACCATACCTCTTAGAATACAGTAGTGAGGGGATAAAAATTGGAAAAGGTATGAATACGTAAAATTTCCCACTAATCTCTTTTGGATATTGGTTTGCATTTATTAGACAAAAACAGATAGTGCCTTGGTCACCTCATAAAGTATTTATTTAATCGATATACCACATGGGTTTGGCAAAACTAATATTTCTTCCGCTTTCCTTCCTTCTTCCCTTTTCCAATCTCCTTCCTTCTCCAATCTCCTTCCTTCTTTCCTTTTCCAATCTCTTTCCTTCTCCAATCTCCTTCCTTCTTTCCTTTTCCAATCTCCCTCCCTCCCTTCCTTGTTTTTTCCTCCAAACTAGAGAGAAGTTAATTATTCACAGGTTAATATTTAAGGACCAGGTTAATAAATAAGGACCAGGATCTGATCCAAAGTAGCTAAAATATTATTTGACTTTACAGATATTTAAAGATTTCTATGCTCTTTTACTCAAGGGAAGGAAGGAAGCCTTTGTCCTACCTGCAGAAAGTACACTGTGGTTTATCCTTGGTGTACTCATAGGAGCCAGCTCTATCCACAACTGTCTGTGACGATCATACAAAGGGCACATGCATCGCACTGTAGCTGAGGGCTTCCTGGAGCTGAATAGAAAGAAAAAGCAGAAATTAACTCGTCGGTATAAGGCGATTCGCTGTTAAACGCTTTTAAAAAGTGCTCAGCTCTCTCCATTAAATATTTCAGGAAGATTTGGCCTCCAGTGAATAGGCTGCGCAAACTAATCAGTACTGGGAAAGCTAGTAAGAACCCGAGATAAACATATCCCGAAACAACCATTATTTTATTTTGGGGGGAAATTATACTTTGATATCTGGCTATAAACCAAGTCTCAATCAGAACACAACAATGCTTTTTTTTTGGGAGGGCGGGGAGGGTGGAAGAGAGAAAGAAAATCCAGGAGAACTCAGTTATTTTGATATGAGAGTATTTCCACCTTGACACTTTGGTTAAGAGATTTAATCCATTTTGAGGGGACTGAAAAGATGGATGATTGAGTTTTCATTTATATAAAGGATAGAGTAGATTACAATTTGCTTAGTGCATCTTGATCACTAAATATTACCCAACAGGGATCAGCTCGGGCTGATCGTTCTTTGCAGTTCCTACAAAAAGTTTATGGGGCCAACGTTAGACCCAAAAGCTTTTCCGGAAGCAAAATATGACACTTTGGCTGCAACGTGCCATTTCTCCATTTTTTAAACATTATTATTGCAATATAAAAAAAATGAGATGGAACAGAGAGACTGGCAGATCTTGGCTTGATGGGTAGAGACGGAGCTAAGCCACAGGGTTGAGTGATAACTGTCTCAAAGTAATGTGTAAGTTTCAAACTCATTGGATTCTTGGTCTTTTCCGGTCTTGCTTTTCTTCTGCCAGATGTTTAGGTGGCCTCATTAGTCTACCTGAAGATGGACTTAGCTTGATAATGAAACATTTGGCAGGAAAAGTAAGCTCAGGTCACAGAGAACCCAAACACTCGACCCTAAGCTCCATTTATTCTCTACTACTACAATCTCACGCATTTCTTTGATGGAGTATTTATTCAGATGTCTTCGCTGTCTTTTTGACCCCTTCCCTGCCGCGTGAGACCCACGGCTGCTTCCCTGAATTACTTACACTCTTTCTTCGCCCCCAACGGTCACAATGCACTCTGAATATCCTCGGGGTTTAAAAGAGGCAAGCATTGCCTCTTCTTGCTGGGGTGGGGTGAGTGGAATGTTGTTACATTCTTTGACAATCTCCCGAACCAACGGCTCGTTCATCATCTGTTCACGCAAGTAAGTAGAGTCCAATCCAGTGACCCACACAGCCGACATGACATCCTTCATATGAACCTGGAGAGCCACAAAGGTAACGGAAATCACAACACTGTATGAGCTTTATAGACAAATTCTGCGCTTAAAATTCCTGTTAACAGACTTTTACAGGCAGGGGCAGCACTTAACATCCTATGGGAGGGTAAGGAATATATTTGCAGAAGGATACACTGGGCAGAACGATCTCAAAAGGATGGGAAATCCTACACCAAGTTTCATCAATTGTACGCAGAGGCAGGGGTCTTATATCAATCAAACTTACAAGGAACGGTTGCTGGAATTGGGTATGTCTAGTTTAACGAAGAGAAGGACGAGGGGGGACATGATAGCAGTCTCCCAATATCTCAGGGGCTGCCCCAAAGAAGAGGGAGTCAAGCTATTCTCCAAGGCGCCTGAAGGCAGGACAAGAAGCAACGGGTGGAAGCTAACCAAAGAGAGAAGCAACCTGGAACTAAGGAGAAACTTCCTGACAGTTAGAACAATTAACCAGTGGAACAACCTGCCTCCAGAAGCGGTGAATGCTTCAACACTGGAGGTCCCTGGTTTATGCAAACTTCTTAAAGGTCGACTCTGAATTCTATATACCTTTCTTAATTCAGGATCGTGGGAAATCCACCGAAGGACCGCTTCAAAAATATGCTTTTCATCCCCAACGTTTAACTTCTCCAAGGACAGCACTTCTTTTAGTCTCTGAGGAGGGAGTTCCAGGAATTCTTCTGTGCTGCTGACATCCCGGAAGTGTGTTTCGAGATACTCCGAGGCCAGGTAGTGAACGTGGAGTAGGCAGTAGTGTAGTGCAAAGTCCCGAATGCCAATACAGTTCTCAGCAGCGATGCAACCCTCCAGAAACTCGCAACAGAGCTTTTTAAGGTCGGTCAGCAGCAAAAGGTCAGCAGCTTGTACCACATCCTGAATGGTCTCTTCACTCAGCTTGATCTAGGTTCAAGACAGAAAAATACAGCCGGTGAGGAAGGTGGCCTGAATCAAACTCCAGACAGTTATCCACATTAGCACCCAACTGCTTCTTCCTGGTTTACTGTCAGGCTAATAAACACGTAACAGTAGACTGCAGGAAAAATACAGAATTACATGTGAACCTGTCATAGCAAGCCCGTAGGCTTTCTTCTTCTCCAATGGGTCCACGTTACTGGCTATGTCAGACTGTAATATATATTCCACACAAGGATCATCCAATGTTTTCTGAAGTCAGGGAAGAGTTGGTGACAATCCTGCACTGTGTATAATTCTCATCTTACCTGACCTCTTGCTACAAATGGTGCAATGGTATCTGGCTTAGGTTATTTAAGACAGGGGTCCCCAACCTCCGGGCCATGGACCAGTACCGGTCCGTGGCCTGCCAGCAACCGGTTCACACAAACAAGCAAAGCCCCATCCACGGGATGCAGGCAGCACGCAAAACCACGCCCTCTCCGGTCCGTGGAAAAACCTCTCTCCACGGAACCGGTCCCTGGTACCCAAAAGATTGGGGGCACCAGGCTTTAGAAGGGGCCAAGAACAGTCCATGAAAAAAACTTAAGCCTGTATTAGCCATGACATATGAACTTGGCTTTCACATTAAGGGAACACATAGGAGATGTGTGGTTTCCCATACAATTTACCACCTTCAGCAAAGTGTTTGGCTGGCTACTGCCGAAGTGAGAATGATCCACTTGGACTTCCAATCTTCTCCAGCTGTGTTTTCTTAATGGGTGCCAGAGGAGAGGTCGTCCTTGGCTTATGACCATAACCGAGACCTAATTTCTATTGCTAAGCGAGACAGCTGAGTTTTGCTCCAGTGTTTAAATGAATCACTACAGTTGTTAAGTTAGTGACATGTTCTTAAGCGAATCTGGCTTCCCCGTTGACTTTGTTCGTCAGGAGGTCACAAAAGGTGATCACATGACGCTCTGGGACACTGCAACCGTCATAAATATGAACCAGCTGACAAGCATCTGAGTTTGATCATGTGACCATGGGGATGCTGGAAAGGGCATTAGGGGGAAACAGTCATAACTCACTTTTTTTCACTGGGGTGGTTAACTTTGAATGGCCACTAAATAAGTGGCTGTAAATAGAGAAGCAATTGTGTATTCAGAATTCAATAGAAAAAGCATAATCTCTTCGAACCATCACACTGACGCTTAAGAACGAAAGGAGCATTTAACAAATTGGGGCAAAGTCTATCTTAACTTTGCAAAGTTTCCAGTGATCCATCGGGAGATTTGGGGAAACCCGCCAGGATACTTCTGCTTTATGAACATATTTCTGAGGAGATTTAACTTACAACTCTAGGAACTAACTTTTGACCAGTCATGGACAGAATTGTGACTGGACCCCCATACGCACGGACAGAATATTCCCGAAGATATATGGAGGATCAATATTAGCAAAAACACACCTGACCACTGAAGATGTAGTCCAGAATCTCTTTCATGGTATCAACAGATATCCCTTCAAGTTCAATTTTATACACGGATCCATCATCCTTGGGAGAATTATAGTTCAGTTTTGTTCTGTAAAAGACAGATTTCCATTTTAAAAAGCAATAGGAATAGCGCAAACGTTTCAGAAAATCATCCATGAAAATCGTTCCAGCTTCCAGCTTGTTTTCAATTATATAATCATCTATATTTATGTTCTCAAAAATTCTAAGACACTAATAGAAAGCCCTTAGTTAATAACTAGTAAACACTTTATGACAATAATTATTCAAATGTTCAGTGCGGTCTCATGGTAAGCATACCCCGCTCTCACCCCCAAATTTTGTTCAGGTCTTCAGCAGAAGTTTCAGTCCGGCGTTCATTTTATTAAATTCAAGGCATAAAACATAATGACAAGACTTTCCTTGAGTCTCTCTGCCCCTGAGCTACTCATTATGCAGATAAGAAGGAAAGTGTTTTTCCTTGTCTGTTTCCCTCTTTCCCCTCATATACTGGAAGGGAACCAACATCAAAGAACAGATCCTGAAAAAGCAAGAGTGAAGAGGACTGCAGGGAGATGATGTATTTTTCCAGCCTTTTATAATTCGCTTGAAGTATGACCGGAGAGAATTCATGTTTAAAGAGATGCATGTAGCCTCTTTGCCCTGTGGAAGCAATCATACACATTTCATTACTTCCTAAATCTCACCTACAGCTACTGGTCCAAAGCAACTCAGTGCCAAACACACAGCTAAGTCATCCTATTTCTTCCTAGTTAAATACCTGCATGAGAACTTGTGGGCTGCCAGAATGATTTCCCCATGTTCACCCTAATTAAATTTTGCTTAATTATGTAATATTTAAGGCGGCTTTAATGTGGCATGTTTTTACTCCACAGCTGTTAATATTATCCCCTCGTCCTTCTTAACTTGATTTCATTAACATGCATTTTAGGGGGCTTTATGTTACAGAAGGAAACAGATGTGCAACCCTAAAATCAGTTCCTGTTCTCTCCCCCCAAAAAACCAAACAAACAAACAAGGGTTTGTTATTATTTTTCTGCCTGTCATACTTTAGCCCTTTGGCAGCACAAATTAAAGGTATAAGCTTTAACCACACCCTATTCCCACTGCCAATTTTCTGAGAATTATGGCCGTAGGTTTGTTTTCAGGTGCTCTGAGCAAGAGCCACTTAAAAACAAACACTCTGTGTAAAAAATAAGGCACTCTACCCTTCCATTTACAGAAGGAGCTACTACAATATTTATACTGGTTTTAAACTTTATGAACTATTTTTATTCCCTACCCACTCACATATTCTCCCCTAAGTGCACTAGTAGGTCAATGCTATCCCGAAAACTGGTCCAGTCCTCTTAAAGCAGGGGTCCCCAATCCCCGGTCTGTGGACAGGTACCGGGCCACGGCATGCCAGCAACCGGGACGCACAAACAAGCAAAGCCCCATCCATGGGATGCAGGCAGCACACAAAACCACTCCCTCTCCGGTCCACGGAAAAACCTCTGTCTTAAAGGACTGCCAGAGGACAATCTTCTATTGCAGTGGTTCTCAACCTGTGGGTCGGGACCCCATTTGGGGTCAATCGACCATTTCATGGGGGTCACCAAGCAAGGCTGTCCGCCATTTTTTTTGTCCGCCATTTTTTTCCCCTTTTCCGGCGGGTGCCTTACCTCCCTTGGGCTGGGCCAGCTGGTGGTCGGCCTGCTCCGTCTCTGCCGCTTGCCAGCTACGCCTCGGCCGGCACAGGGGGCGGAACCACGCATGGGCGGCGCTCCCGGGCAGGGAAAGCCCTCGACTTACGACCGGTTGGGTAGTCCTCGACTTACGACCGGTTTAGTCCTCGACTTACGACCGGTTTAGTCCTCGACTTACGACCGGTTTAGTCCTCGACTTACGACCGGTTGGGGTCGCGGCATTAAAAAGGTTGAGAACCACTGCTCTATTGGAAAGTAACTTCTGTCTGAACTTCAAAGCTGATTTAAGAGGTAAAGAAGCTGCGAAGAAAATGTGGATGCAAAATCCCTATTAAGAGATAACCGCTGAATAGGAGATGAGGCAGCAACACGAGAGAGCTGGGTATACTCTCCCTATTTCTGGTAAGACATGTTGTACTTCTATAATAACACTGTATGCGTATCAGCCCCAACTGATCCTGTTGCAGAGTGAAGGCTTTTTTTTATTGAAAGTTATGCACCATAATCTACCACACTAGCCCAGATAGATGTTGGTAGATAGACATTTTTCAACTTTGCAGTCTACAGTTAAGACTTAGCACCTAGCCCAAAGTCACCCAGCCAGTTTCTATGCCTAAGGGAGGGCTAGAGCATGTGGCCTCCTTGCTTTTGGTCTGGCACCTTAAGTACTACCCAACGCTGGCTCTTGTATATACAATATACACATAAATCAGTGCTTGACTTACTTTCTTTTATAATTTCTCTTTTTAAACCAGGGGTAGGCAACCTTGGCTCTTTTATGACTCGTGGACTTCAACTCCCAGAATTCCTGCTCAGCATGGAAACCTCACCCTTTCCCCTCAGCATGGCTGGCTCAGGAATTCTGGGAGTTGAAGTCCACGAGTCATAAAAGGGCCAAGGTTCCCTATCCCTGGTTTAAACCAATGCATAAATGGTAACTTTGAGAACATGCTTTACTCAGGAGACTATTTTCAGAACCAAATCTGGAGCACTGTTCTTCTCTTGGTGTCCAAAGTCTAGGTAAGTCAACTATTGTACCTTAAACAATGACCAGGGTGACCTTGGGCCACTTGCCCTCTCAGCTCAACCCACTTCAGAGGGCTGATGATGGGGGGAAAGCAGGAGAAGGAAGGAGCATTATGTACGTTTGCCGCCTTGAGTTACTTACAAAGTAACAAAGGGAGGATTTAAAAAAATTAAAATAAATGCAACAATTAAGTCAGTAACGTGGTATCTAAATAAACTTAAGAGTACATTTTTGCTGTTGTTGCATGGATGCCGTGTAAATATTCTGTACTGTAAGTATATGACAATGTTGCGGAACATCAAGCAAGCAAGCTAGGACAACATCCACAAAACATGCCACAGCACCGGAAGGCAAGACAAGAAATAATGAATGGAAACTACTCAAGGAGAAAAGCATCCTGGAATTAAGGAGAAACTGCCTAACCATGAGGACAATTAACCATTGGAACAGCTTGCCTTCAGAAGTAGGGCCTGCTTCATCACTGGAGGTTTTTAAGAAGAGACTGTCTGAAATGATACAGGACAGGGGTCTTCAAACGTGGCCCTTTTATGACTTGTGGACTTCAACTCCCAGAATTCCTCCGTGCCCGGCTGAGGGATTCTGGGAGTTGAAGTCCACAAGTCATAAAAGGGCCACGTTTGAAGAGACCTGAAATAGGATCTCCTGCTTGAGCAGGGGGTTAGACTAGAAGACCTCCAAGGTCCCTTCCGACTCTATTCTGATTGATTGATGGCTTCTGAAGTTTACTCCAACCTCTTAAACTACAGTTCCATTCTGCAGTTGTGACCAGAAAGGAGACAAACAGAAGCTTCCAAAGGGGGTTGCTGCCCAATTTTCTCTCCCATTGAAACGTACCGTGGGATTATTTCTAGCATTCTATTTTTTCCCCATCTGGCCCCATTTTAAAGCTTGATCTTTCTTTGCTCTGCTTCTCCCTTTCCATCAAAGTTTTGCTGTGTTTTACAGAGCTATATCCCTGCTGATGGACAAGTAGACGTTCATCGTTCTAAGCCCAGTGATGTCATTTCACCCCCCCCCCCCAAAAAAAACATACTGTTGGCTGGGAAAGAATACAAATGAGTCACCTCCTAAATTTCTGTTCTAAGTTTTTTTTTTCCCCTTTGGGGGATGTAAGCCAAAAAGGTCCAAAGCTTTTGGGGATGGCTATAAGGAACTTCAGATCATTTCTACCCATCAACCTCCTAGCAACATTTTCAAGTTTAAAAAAATATATCGGCAATTATTTGCTGTAATTTTTTTTTGAGGAAAATAGCAACTGCAGGAAAGAACATTACGAATGGTGGAATGGCTTGTAACACTATTTCTACTCTATTCATTCAAGACGGAGGATTTGGATTCTATACACATGTGCCCAGTGCTAGCTCAGATTCCAGCTTAGAAGAAACTATGATTCAGTCTTAATAATAATGCAGATCTGTGCTCTCACTCTTTCTCTAATTACCTTTCATCTGATAAAAAAATGCATGAGTCGGTTATATGCACACTCCCTTCTCCATATAGAAATGAACTGAATTATTTTTCATTTATTGTTAATCCTCAAGGACAGATAAAAATATATGTTCACATCTATCTCCAAATTCTTCATTTTACATGTACTGTATGTGAATATTTATATTATCGCAAACATTCCGTCCATTAAAGACCTGTTCCAAGAATTTAAAAATGTTCCAATGGACCTAAACTATATGCTAAAATGATTTAAAAAACAACAACTAGTTCAGCTAGTTACATGTAAGATTACATGAAAACAGATGTTTAAAAACATCTGAATTTTAAACTATGGCTGACAATCCATTTCAGAGCTATTAAACAACAGTTTTTGTTGAGTCTCTCTGTGTGTATATATACACAGATCTCAGCATATTTTAATGTAAACTAATAAAAAGGATTAATCTACATACTGCCATTGCCAGGTGGGAAAATGACAGCTGTCGAACAACTATTTAACATATTTATTATAGTGCTTGTAAAAGTCACACATTATTATTCCAAGGTACCTTGATTTGGAACTTATCCTACGCTGTGGAGAACAAGATCTTCACATGGAAGAAATAGTGCAATAAATCACGGCTCTCTTTCCAAGGCTGTCACAACATTATGAAAACACTAATTGGCATCCTATAATAAGGACCCAGGCATCTTTTAGATAGGAGTGTTCTGTTGCTTTATTTAAAATGTGTATTTAAATAATGTATTTAAAGCAAAGGAAGGGAAGAGGAACTACTACACCGTTTAAACTATACGTGAGGCATCTTCAGCTTCATATCTGAGAAATATTTATGTGATCAATTGTGAAATTCCTATCTCAGCTGTTTACTGCAATTCCCTATTCCCAGCCTTAACATGCTTTCTAGCATTTAAACCGTAAATCTTCCAAGGCCTCTTTAATTACTTGACAGTCAGTCAGCAGCTTCATAACTCTTCTTCGCCATGAAAAATGCCCTCTCTGATTTTTTACAAAGGAACTGATAACTGTAAATATCAATATTACCCACGGAAGTCTTGGTAAACAAAAGAAGCCCTGCCTCTTTTGGCATGAATGATACACCTGAATTTGTCAGTAATTTTCCCATCACCCCACCCATTCATCCAGATGCAAGAGGCATATTCTAAACTTCTTCCTACCTGTCTGAATGAGGAAGTCAGCAATTTTCTCCTGCTCACAGCACAAGGGAAGGACTGATTTTAGGAGGCTCTGATAATTAACAGAAAAGGCTGCCCATGAAAAGAGATCAACATAGGAATCTCCTATTATCAGAGAACAGCTAGAGGTTTGTTTACACTTTTTAATCTACAGTGCTGCCTTTCTTGTGCTGGAGAAGGGTGTACAGAGTGGAAATGGCAGGAGAAAGGAAAAGGAGGAAGAAATAGTGTAATTGGGGGGTTGGTAACTAACTGGGCCAGCAAGAAGTAAAAAAAGAAATCAAAACAACAGAAATAAGAAAACACCTGAATCCATAATGTGGTTGCTCATATATAATTTTACCTTTTCTTTGAATTGCTCTAAATTTTAAATCAAGCAGTATGAGATTTCTCATCTGGTTGTTCTTAGACCTGGTCTGATCTCGTGGTTTGAAGGCACATAAAGACAAACATTTTCTTGATTATGTTAATCAGGCATGGACAGTACCTGGATGAACGGTCCTATAGAGGTGGCCAGGTGAGCAACTATCAGTTTCATATGAGAAGCTAAGATCCAAAATAAACTTAAAGCTAATTTCGGCAATCCCTGACTTCATACTGCAGGCTTTCTCACTGAATTCAGTAAATGCCTGATATACTAATATATATATTAATATTGACAAGTTATAAAGCTAAAAATTCGACTCTTGGGTAAATCCATGATAAAACCAATAAATATCGATCACCAAGAGGAAAGTAATAAATAATAAAAAAAATTAATGAGCCAAGCTTTCGTTGGGCCCACCCAACATCATCAGGGCTTTAAAAGTAGTCACTGGGAAAGAGCTTTTATAAGATGTTAACAGCCTGCATCCGGCTTCTGGAACGTATATTATATTAATTAATTATATTAACTAAGCATATATTAATATGCTTAGTTTTTCAATGAGGTGACAGGGCAGCATTACAGTAAAAAAAAATGGGAGAGGGAGACTCTGCACATGCTTAGAGACACCTTCCTTCCTAGTGAGGTGAATTATTTAAGACTTTATTTAAGAATTACATAAAGGACACACCACCATCAAAAATGATTATCTTATTTGCTGGGTTCAAAAATCTGTGCAAGCAGTTTCAGCCGCTATACTTTCAAAAATTATTTCTTACAGATTAGCAGTGTGAGTAAACCAAGCAGTTGTGGCTTGTTCAACAGACAGTTCAACAAGTGAAGGTTACATGCAAAGCCAGACACCACCTAGTAGGCAAGTCATGGAAAAATGTTGTCAACAATTGTCAAGAAGCTATGCAGCGCTTTAAAAGTCACAGGCAGGAACTTGTTAAAAAAATAAATAAATCTGAGGCCTGTTGGAAGGCTGCCAGTTCAGCCAGTACTTACTAAGCATATCTGAATAGCCTGCTAAAGCAGGCCAGGGGATCATCCCATTCTAGGCCCAATAATGGCTAATCTTTAACATATCGCTGGATTTCAGCATTCACCCTGAAGCAATCAACATTTATTTTAACCAATATATTAGTCACCTCAATTGCTGAAGAAGCTCAAAATGCTTTACAAAGGAAAAAAAATACTGATTTAAAATAGACTCAGCAACGACTACAAGAAGCAAATAAAAACCACACCTCAAGGATCATAGATTTTCCAATCCTACAGCCTGTTAAAAATGTCAAGACTTCAGTGTCCCTAAAAGTATAACTGGCTTACAACTAGATGAGGGATGTTCCACAGGGCAGAGAAATCACACAGGAGCCCCCTCCCCAACAGCTTTTTTGTTGAGACCCAGATCACGCCAGCCCTGATAAGAGGGAGTTGAATGCTTCTTCGCTGTGCATCTCTCAACCCTTTTTATAGTGATAAAAAAATTATCCAAACCAGAAAACTAAATCTTGGCATCCAGGTAAGCCATAGTCTCTCTAACCACTGGTGTCTTAAATTGACTCAACTACAAACATCCAAGACCTGTGAGAGGATGTGAAGTGAGACCATTTAATTTTGCTTCTTGTTTCCAACAAATCAGTCAGGGAGAGATTCTCAAACATCTGATTGGCCTCTGTTTGCCAGTGTTTACTGGTGATGTATTATTATGCTGATCTTCTGGCACCCTTAAGAACCGGCTCAATTTTAACTGAAAACTCTGATTCCACAAAGCCTAAGTAAATTCATCTAAACAAAAACAAGCTCCTATAGAAAAATGAAGGAAAAATCGGAATAATAAAAGCAACAGCGGATTTTTCCTAAGCTAGCATCATTGCAACATCTCTTTATGGTTATCACAAGTTAGCTAGGGATTTGTAAGAGTCTTGTCACAAAGAAACGGAAGGTTTACTGCATTCATGTCCTTTGATGCCTATTTGATTCTTACACACACTCTGCCAGGTAGTTTACACTCATCTTGAATGGTGGATCCTTGGGAACTGAATTTGGGATCAATAATAAAAGACTAGATTTCTGAACTTCTTGATACACTGGGTCACATCTGCACCAGGATGCCACAGTGGGGATGAGTCAGTGGGAATGAAGTGTGGGTCATCACAATGCCATGGTGGTCAGGGTATGGCATATTTCATTGTCACTGTTTATTGACTCTGGGTGAGTCACCTAGGATTAGTGTATAAGATAGGCAGTTACAGACGCCTTATAACTCAATAAACAAACTGCCTTCCACTTAATACTTTAAGGCATTTACAAAATAGAACATTAAGAATTTAGGCACATTGTACAATTATCATCTTAACTAAAATAACCTATTGTACTAAAACTGAGACGATGGAGCAATAGATTGTCTACATGGCTAGATTTAATAATATATTAAAAGAATGAGCCAGTATTAATTCAACATTTTATACATATTCTTTTAGCTTCTACAAATTGGACCGCTCCCTTATTCATTACCCTCTAATGCAGGGTAATGCCTGATTTTACTATATTTTTGGTCCTGGGTCTCCTATCTTCTAGTTGTTATACTTATGGAAAAATAGGTGCAATAATAATAACATGCCATTTCAAAGCAGGAGCAAAACACAAACAGGTCTTGCATCCTGCTCTGCAAGAGGCAGAGCGGGATGCTGGTTAAAGTGCTGGAGACGCCAGAGTTGAAATCCGTCATCCACCGGACAGAAACTGGGTTTAGGTAGACCAGTCCCTCTCTAAGCCCAACAGGCCTCCCTCAAAGGGGTGTTGTGGTAGGAAACAAGAGAGCCAGCTGCCTCTAATTCCTGAAAAGAAAAAAGCAGGCAATGCCAGGCAGGGAAGAGACAAAGCAAGAAGAGGAAGACTTAAAAACCCTATTTGTCAACCTCAGCCCAGAATGTCCAAAAGGCTTTTATTCCACACGTTATGGACTTAAAATTCAGGGGTCTCCAACCTTGGCCGCTTTAAGACTTGTGGACTTCAACTCCCAGAATTCCTCAGCCAGCAAAGCAGGGGTCCTCAACCTTGGCCCCTTTAAGACTTGTGGACTTCAACTAGTTTAATGAAGAGAAGGACGAGGGGGGACATGATAGCAGTGTTCCAATATCTCAGGGGTTGCCATAAAGAAGAGGGAGTCAAGCTATTCTCCAAAGCGCCTGAAGGCAGGACAAGAAGCAACGGGTGGAAACTAACCAAGGAAAGAAGCAACCTAGAACGAAGGAGAAACTTCCTGACAGTGAGAACAATTAACCAGTGGAACCACCTGCCTCCAGAAGCAGTGAATGCACCAACACTGGAAGTTTTTAAGAAGAGACTGGACAGCCATTTGTCCGAAATGGTATAGGGTTTCCTGCCTGAGCAGGGGGTTGGACTAGATGACCTTCAAGGTCCCTTCCAACTTTACTATTATTATTATAACTCCCAGAATTCCTCAGCCAGCAAAGCTGGCTGAGGAATTCTGGGAGTTGAAGCCCACAAGTCTTAAAGCGGCCAAGGTTGGAGACCCCTGGACTAAATGCATGCATATATTCGCATTATTATTGCACATGGACGGGGCGATTCTGGGAGTTGCAACCCACCCGTCCAGGAAAGGCGGAGGCTGCGAAGCGCTTCGTTGCAAGAAGGGGTGTGTGTGTGTGTGTGTGCAACAGCTGCCCCCCCATACACCCCCCCAGAGACGACGGACACCCCCTTTTTGTGGGGAAACAGACCCAAGAGACCCCCCCCCAGAGGTGGTAGCCATGGGACCGTCTCCGCCCCACTCCCGCCGGGCCCGGCCTCCGCTCACCGCACGTAGGGGCTGGCGGCGGCCAGGATGTTGGTCTGCACCGGGATCTCCTGCCCGTCCAGCACCAGGTTGGCGTCGCAGAAGCGGCCCTCCTGCCGGAAGGAGCTCAGCGCCCGCAGCAGCCGCGCCGCGTGCTGCGGGTCGGAGACGGAGCTGCCCGGCGCCCCGCTCGACATGGCGGCCCGCGCGCCGCTGCTTGACCCCGCTCCGCTCCGCTCGACTCGCCGCGCCCTCACCGCCGGCCGGGAACCGCCATCCTGCCGCGCCGGCGCCGCCTGACCTCATCTCCGCGCGACGGACACGCCCCCTCCCGGAGGCGGGGCGCAGAGAGGGTGACTCCGCCCCGAAGGAGGAGCGGAGGGGCCCCTCCCTCGCGGGGGGCGGAGCTAACGCCGCGCCCGGCACGTGCTGAGTCAGGCTGCAAAAAGGCGCCGGCGCCGTTTTCCACGGTCGCCAAGCCCATGGTTCCCAGCCGGGAGGCTGGCCCGTCCTTTTTTAACGCTGCTTCTTCTGGCTCTCTGGGCGTGCTCAGAAGGGAGACGGGGATGGGGGGGGGGCTGCGGCATGAGTTTCCAGCCCTGCCTTCTCCAATCGGATGTGCGGGACGACAATGCCCAGGCTTCCCAGCCAACAGTGGGGTTGTTGTTGTTGTTGTTGTCTAGTATTACGGCCTACTGACAGCCGAGTAGGGGAGATGGACAGTGTCCCAAAGGAGCAGGGATGCTCTGTTTTGAGTAGGCAGGTGTGACAAATAATAACGCCACAATATTGGATTTTCAGGCTAAAATGCCCAGGGTTGAAATTTGGGAGAAGGTGGTTCTTCTAAAGCAGGAGTAGTCAACCTTGGCTCTTTTATGACTCGTGGACTTCAACTCCCAGAATTCCTGAGCCAGCTAAAGCTGGCTCAGGAATTCTGGGAATTGAAGTCCACGAGTCATAAAAGAGCCAAGGTTGACTACCCCTGTAAATCTAAAGTGGGACGCAATGGCTCAGTGGTTGAAGACGCTGAGCTTGTCAGCTGCAGAGCTGGCAGCCCAGGTTCAAGATCCCATTCTCCATGCCCACCTAGCAAGTTGGAAAGCGTGCAAACTGCGAGTAGATAAATAGGTACCACTCAGGTGGGAAGGTAACGGTGTCCCATGTGCCTTGGAAAGGTCTTCAAGCAACACTGACTCCCTTGGCTAAGAAATGGAGATGAGCCCTGTGCCCTAGAGTTGGACAGGGGATGCCTTTTATCTTTTTATTCTTCCCAAGGAGTGCCTGCCCAGGAAGATGGGCATTGCACTGATGAAGATTTTTCCTTCAACAATTGAAAAGTCTTCATCAGCACCACCACTTAACTTACAGTGAAGACTTCTGGGGAGATTCTTTGGCCGCAGGCAGAGGAGAAAAATCATACGTCACAACATTAAGCCCAAACTGAACAGTTGGAAGAGTTTTCAAGAGATGGTCCTCATTCGGATTTATTCTAATATCTGGAACGTTTAATCAAGGGGCAATCTTGGATAGCGCCGACGTTTGCAGATGTCTCCACAAAAGTCAGAATGAGCCCCCTTACTTCACATATTCCACAAAAACGGGCCCAGGCCCAGAAATCTGTTATCACTAAGTGTCACAAAAGTATTTGGGAGCAGAGTTGCGTCAGACTATTGCAACAGGCAATAATCAGTCTAAAAGAAAATACTAAAGTTTCCAGGCTTGCATTTTTTGAGAAGCATCCAAAATCCAGAATTGGGCAATGCTTTTATTGGGGTCAAATTAGTCGGGTTTGGAGAGTTCCAGATCTTTCCAGTAGTCATGTTTGGTGTGTTTAGACACCTGCCTGATGAAATCTCGAGGCTGAGTGACATCTAGCTGACTCAACTCCAATCTGTTCTCCTGATAGCAGAAATTTCCAATCTTTTATTACTTTTCCCCTTCTCAAATAACATCTTGCTGGACACTTTGGGAGAAAAGTACTAACTGGATTTTTTTTTTATGGAATAAACTTAGCTACAGTTTCTGGTAATCTCCTCCAGCAAAGCTTTTATTGTATTCGTTCATTAAATTTGTATGAGATCCATCTCACTATCAAGTGACTGGGTAGTTTACAGAGCTATGATAAACATAATAAAAGAATTAAAAGATTAAAAACACTAGAGCACTGGGTTCTTAAAGTTAAAATATTAATATTAAAGCGGATAAAAAGAACCAATGCATAGATGGGGTGGAGCTGGGATCTTTTTTTAGCCAGCCATCTAAAATGGGACTCCCCCAAGCCAGTTAGGGTTAGTTGGAAGCCATTCTTCCAACTTCCTGTTTTATTCTCTATAATTTTAGTTTGATAAGGCTCTGTTTTTGGAAGAGCCCTGTGCGGTTTAGAAGTGAACAGTCAGAATGTCCTTAAATAAAACTATCAACAATAAATCAATTGTTCTAAAATAAATGCAAAAGAAAACAAGACTTGGCTATTTAAAAGAAAAAAGAAAAAAAACCCAATGTAATAAAAAGAGAAAAAGCTATTTTTGAGCCGAGTTTGGTACTTATATGGACGGTGTGATTTTCTTGGCAATCCTGTCTTGCCTTGTATCAGAAATACAGGAACTTGGAAAGGGGAAGTTTATTAATATAATTTTTTTAAAAATTAAGAACTAATAAAAACTTAAATTTATATTATTTTAGCCCAGTGCTGGGCCACATTGAGGGCAGGGATATTGCCCATCGGCAAGTCATTGTGTGTGTGTGTGTTTGACCCAGGGGAGACTATAAAAGATGGACAGTTGTTGGAATAGCGCCATATTCACAATAAATATCCTTATCCTTTGAAAGAAGCCCCCATTTTTCCATGTGGTCTTTATTTGTAGCCCAAAGGCCCCCAACCTTTTGGGCACCAGGCACTGGTTCCATGGAGAGAGGTCTTTCCACAGACTGGAGCAGATGTGGTTTCACATGCTGCCTGCATCCCGTGGATGGGGCTTTGTTTGTTTGTGTGGACCGGTTTCTGGCATGCCATGGCCCAGTACTGGTCCACGGACCAGGGGTTGGGGACCCCTGTTCCAGCCAAACCAGTGCACAATCTCTTCTTGGCACTAATATGATAATAGTTGGCCAAGACTGTCTTCTCCAGAATGGTTTTTCAACTTCACATTTAGTTTACGCCCTGGGTTTGCCAACGGCCTCTCATAAGGTACAAACATGTTTACCTTCCAAGCCCAAACAAAGCTGACATCATAAATATATTTATTTTATTAAATGTATAAGGCTATCCAACTCTAGAGTGACTCCAGGTAGCCTACAATAAAACCATCACTAAAACACAGAAGAAGAAACAGCTATTTGAAAACAGTATAATTGCATCGAACCCACTATTGACTATCAACTGCTATTTTTCAAACGTGGCAACTTAAAGATGTGCGGACTTGAATTCTCAGAATTCTCCAGCCTGCTATGTTTGAAAATGTTTTAACCAGTGTTTGAAAATAAAACACTAGTTTAAACTCAGGCTGGAGAGATAAGCCAAATTTTCAGAATGGACTGCTAAATCTTGAATAATTTGGGGGAGATTGGGTAATTGCCTTTTTTTTCTAGATTTATTTTTCAATCCTACTTTTACTCATTTTCTTCCCCTCCCTTATGTTTTTATGAGTTTTGCTTACATTTTATTTAGTTTAATGTGTATTATCTTAACCGGCCATCACGTTATACCTTCTTTATAAATTTGTGACCAGTTTACAAAACAATACTAATTTTAAAAATGGGTTCTTTGGAAAACTTCTGCCACCCAGAGTCTTGCAGAAAATAATATTAGGACAAAAACATTCTTGGAGGCGACAAACTGACTTGTGAGATTTATAAAGCTAAAGGTACGAGGTCTGTTGATCAACACTTTCTGGAAATATAGGCGACTGTATAGGGGAAAGTGTGTCAGGTGCCTCATGGAATAATTGCCGAGGACATAAATTATGCAAATGTTGTCAATCATCACATTGTTTGCATGATGATATCATGGCGCATGTGACTTTATCTTGGCTTCTCTGCCCAGAAGCAATACTCTATACTCTTTCTTCACTGTGTTATTAGTGTTTATTTGAGGTACGTTCTAGTGAATCTCGAATTACAAGGGAGCTTCTGATTCAGTGCTTGGCTCTGAAATTGTTTCCAGCATCAAAGGGGGAATTCACAATTGATCCAATACCACCTCCACATCCTCCTCCTCTGTCACACCAGGTGTCCAGCTGTGGCTTCATAAGATAGACTGACAACTTCTCCAACATCCCACTGCTATATTAAACTGCTGAGTCAGACAAGGCTAATTGTTGTATTATGCCAGAATGCGTGAAGCTTAGCACACTGGTTGAATTCAACTATGACTTACTACAGCTTACAGTTTCCTACCGTAACTAGTTTGTTCAATCACAGGAAGACAAATCATGACTTGATGCAAGGTGAGATTTTTTAATAGAATAGAATAGAATAGAATGTAGAGTAGAGTAGAGTAGAGTAGAATAGAATAGAATGTAGAGTAGAGTAGAGTAGAGTAGAGTACAATAGAATAGAATAGAATAGAATAGAATAGAATAGAATAGAATAGAATAGAATAGAATTCTTTATTGGCCAAGTGTGATTGGACACACAAGGAACTTGTCTCTAGTGCATATAAACACAGGTAATAGGTCATAAATCATAGTTACAATTATTAATCATAATTTACAAACAACAATTGATAAATCATAAGAAACCAAAAGGAGAGGATACCAGGAAAGATGAGAAGATGAGAAAAGATGAGAAATGAGATGGTGCTGTGGGAATTAAGTGTTCAGCAGAGTAATGCCACGGTTGGGGGGGGGATATCTTTGTGTCTGGTTGTTTTGGCGTCCTGAGAGGAGAAGTTGAAATAGATTATGTCCAGGATGTGAGGGGTCTGTAGATATTTTCTCAGCTCTCTTTCTGACCCGGGCAGTATACAAGTCCTCAATGGAAGGCACATTGGCAAGAGAATGGGGACAGTCCAAGAATTTAGGGAGAATTCCTGGGGAAAGGAATTGTAGCTTTCTGTCTGTTTTCTCCCTCCCCACCCCCATCAGCAGTGACTACAGATTCATCCTCTCTGTCTAATGGTAGGGCCAGCCTGGAAAATAACAGACGGGAAGAAAGGAAAGACAAATGAGATGTGGTAATGCTTTCTGCACCCCTGCTT